AAAGCCAGGAAATTTCAGTTTTGACAATATGGGACCTTTAATGACTGATGAGGAACATTCAGATGAAAACTGATATATAACAATACATTTAAAACTAAAAATTATTAGACTCAGTAGTAAACTAGATTTGTGCCAAATTGAGGCTGAAGTATATTTCTTTTTGTTTCTGATTTGTGTTGCATTAATTGAATTTTGGGTATTTAATATTTTGATTTCAGACTCGGTGGACGCGAATAAAGACAAACAGCATCAGTTTCAAAAACCTCATCATTTCATAAACGAAGATGAAAACACCACCGTTTTACAGACTGAAAAGAATTTCACACAAAAACAAACTGGAATAACTGGAGTCAAACGATCTTTCAGCTGCTCCGAGTGTGGAAAGAGTTTCATGCACAAACGTTACTTGACTATGCACTTGAAAATTCACATTGAAGAAAAACCCTTCACATGCACTCAGTGCGGAAAGAGTTACATATATAAATCAAAACTCAAAATACACACGAGAGTTCACACTGGAGAGAGGCCTTATACATGCACTCAGTGTGGAAAGAGTTTCATCGATAAAGCATACCTAAATGTGCACATGAGAATTCACACTGGAGAAAAACCATTCACATGCACTCAGTGCGGAAAGAGTTACAAACATAAATCAAAACTCAAAATACACACAAGAGTTCACACTGGAGAGACGCTTTATACATGCACTCAGTGTGGAAAGAGTTTTGTTGATAAAGGATACCTAAATGTGCACATGAGAATTCACACTGGAGAAAAACCCTTCACATGCACACAGTGTGGAAAGAGTTTTGTATCCAAAAAGTTTCCGAGAAAACATCAGCTCTCTCACACTGGAGTGAAATCATTCAGCTGTGATCAGTGTGATAAAACATTTGCTTCTGCGTGGAGCTTAAGACAACATCTTAATAGTCATGCTGGTGTGAAGCCTCACGTTTGCTCTTTTTGTGGAAAGAGTTTTACACTACTAACAACTTTACAAGGGCACCAGAGCATTCACACTGGAGTGAGACCGCATATGTGCTTTGACTGTGGAAAGACCTTTCTTACATGTAGCAGTTTAAAAAAACACCAGAGGATTCACACGGGAGAGAAACCGTACAAGTGCTCACACTGTGGAAAGAGTTTCACTCGCTCAGAAGGCTTGAAAATTCACGAGAGAGTTCATACTGGAGAGAAGCCCTACCAGTGCTCTTCATGTGGGAAGAGTTTCACCACATCATCTAATCTACGGACTCACAAGACAAAGCATTGCCCAAAGTTGTCTAAGTGAGCAAAGTTCATGTTCATATCCAGCACTTACAAGCAGTGGCAGCTAGTTTAAGTTAGCCAGGGAAGATATATTTAAAATAAGTTAAATATATATTGCATTATTTAGTCATACTATTCGACTGGTAGTCATGTTAGCAAAGAATATCTCTTTGGTTTTGAGACTTTAGTCTTTGCAACTTCAGGGATCTTATCTATGCACAATCAGCTTGTAACACTCCAACGAGAAAGGAAAACTTGAAATCGCATCATATGACCCCTTTAAAAATCAAAACTGTATCTTTGTGTGTGCGGGGCGCCGAACAAATTGGTGTCTGTTAGGTCTGTAAACTTTTGAAACGCATGTGACTTGAGGCTGAGCTCTAATTGGCTTGTTCCAGATTGTCCTCAGACCCTCCCACTTTTGATCTTAGCGAATCAATATTGTTTTTATGTATTTTGGCCTGATGTGATTGGACCGTTTGACTTTCAAATAGGTGCAATATCTCTTCCGAGATGAAAGTAAATTTGATTTTATCTTTACCAAAAATCCTTTCACAAGGCGTTCAAATGAAAAAATACGGATCATGGAGCTTGTATGGAGTTGGCTAGTTGGATGCGATGCAAGTCATGCCTTTTATTGTTTTATTGATGTTATTTCAAAGTCTTGTCACCGAAGCGTTGTGGGCAACGACACAGAAGGTAACTGAAACAATGCAATTTAACTCGAGGCGATCATCGGGGTCCAAGCACAATGGCAATGGACATGTCTCTTTTCAAGTAAAATACGAGTCTTTATGTAAATATTATTATATGCACAGTGTTACAATAGAAAAATAATATAGTGTTTCTTATTCAACTGGACATACATTCAGTTATGTCTGACAACTTGACAATATCAACAATGTTAATATCATTAAAATTAAGATTTAAAAAATTGTCAAAGTATTTAGGAGATTACAGTTTTTGCATACTTATTATATTGGGCTTTATTCAACTTTATGAAAATATAATGAATTTATATATGCAATTTTTTTATTATTATTACAAGTCAATTTATTGAACAATTCTCGCAGTCTTTAAACTGAGATCTTAAAGGGTTTGCTATCCTGTGGCTCCCTCGTGTGGACAACATTAGTATTATTGCCTTCATCTCTGAATCACATTAATATAAATGGCTAATATATTTTTTTAATGATTACAAATGTTCAATGATTACTTTACTGATACACCCACATTAAACAAACTCAAATTCACTGATTCGATATCTTCATGCTTTAACAGTTGAATTAAAAAAAAAATCATTATTTCAGACACAAAACGTTTGTCTAAAGGTTCAATAAAGTGTTACAATAAAAAAATAATATGCCATTCTTTTCAGGGTTAAAAGATTTTGTGTAGTCTTGATCCTTAAAATAACTTGCAAGTGTTTCAATATGAAGTTATGATAATAGTTGGTCAGTGCCACAGATCTTCCTCTAGATGTCGCTATTTGTGTTCATTTCAACCACGTGGTCCATTGATTGACTCTAAAGCTGCTGTTTATCAGATTGTGAGTACATGAATTTTTGCTTATTGTGGTGAAATAAATCTGGCAACTTGTAAATGCACTGAACTTGACCAGTGTCCGATTCACAGACTAATGAGTCATAAGAGTCGGTTCATTTCAGTGAATCAAAAACAAAGTTATAGTTCAAACACTCAGTAGTAAACTAGATAAATTGTGGGTCATGAATTGTAAACGTTTTACTCTGTTTAAATGGTAGTCGTGCCGGAGAGCAGGCAAACAAATGTTTTCAGATGCAGTAAAATCAAGTCACCTTTATATAGCGCTTTTAACAATACAGATTGTGTCAAAGCAGCTTTACAGTATTAAACAGGAAAATAGTGTGTCAATAACGCAAAAAAAAGCCAGATTGTCCTGTACATGTTCTCCCGCTCTTGCTTCAAGGTTGTGTGGTTCAGGGGCGTCATCATGGTCTTCCTCATTCTCTGGCTCAACAAAGTCCCCATTGAGAAGAAGAGCGAGATTGTAAAACACAGCTCAAGTCACAAAGGCAGGGCTTGAAGAAAACAGAGGGCCAAAGGCTCGCTCTACTACACTGCCTGTAAATATTTGATCGTTTCTTGGAATGATAAATTGAAATAAAGCTTTATTTCATGTGTTGTTCACTTGTATATGTATTTATTTACTTTTATTCATTAATTCCCTCATGTTTCATTTACTCATTTGTGTTCATGTTTCCCATCGTTATCAGTGAATAAAATAGAATTATTACATTAATTCATGCATTAATTCACTGACTAAAAATGGATGAATTCACATCGCCTGCATTTGTTTCGTGTATATGACATAACTCAATTTACATTTAGCTTGTTTTACTAAAATATATAATTGTCATTAGTGTCCCTGCAGCACAAAAGCAGTCTCTGGGGTATATTTGTAGCAATAGCCAACAATACATTGTATGGGTCAAAATTATCCATTTTTCTTTTATGCCAAAAATCATTAGGATATTAAGTAAAGATCATGTTCCATGAAGATATTTAGTAAATTTCCTACCGTAAATATATTAAAACTTAATTTCTGATTAGTAATATGCATTGCTCAGAACTTCATTTGGACAACTTTAAAGGCGATATTCTCAATATTTATATTTTTTTGTGCCCTCAGGTTCCAGATTTTCAAATATTGTCCGATCCTAACAAACCATACATCAATGGAAAGATGATTTATTCAATTTCAGATGATGCATAAATCTCAATTTCGAAAAATTGACCCTTATGACTGGTTTTGTGGGTCACAAATGACAGTAAATCCTAGTGTATCATGTAAAATTTGAGCTTCAGAATCTTTGTCCTTTTATTATCTGATGGCTGGATCAAGACATTGCATTTTTTTTTCTGTGATTTTTATTTATCCGGTGCATTTCTGTTTTGTTGAGGTTGAGATCCTTAAATCTAAAACGAATTCAAACTTAAGTGATAAATGTTTCTCTGTTCCAGATTTCAGATGAATGTGGAAATATGACTGATAATGAATGTTTAATTAATGCTGTTCATAACACTAACCTGCGTTTGTCTTTTTGTTTTGTGATGAAAGTCGACATGCGTTTGGGAGAATGTTCAGTGAGAATTATTTATGAATGACAGGCTGCTCTTTATTTTACACTATAACCCATGCCGTCGTTACGGTCTTACTGGGGCTCTTTACTAACTTCATTAACTAGTGTTACATCTGCATGTCTGACTTGAGCAAACAGAAGCAAGGAGACAGAAAATCTGCACATCACTGTAAAATACAGTCATAATAACTGTGATCACATGTGACAAATGAAATCTGTAAATATTTTTGATAACGTTTCTTTTAATTTCTCATATTGTGAAACGTTTTGTGACAAACTGTATCAAACTCATTTCTTGTCACATAAGAATCACTTGATTGTTTAATTGTTCATTAATGTCTGTTAGAGGTTGATTTAATTGTTTCGGTGTAATTTTCAGTCTTGTCTTGTTCGTTTATTAATATCATTTGCTGCACTGAATTGTTCTTCTGAGATGAATCATCTTTCTATTACAAAATCACTTTTGCTCTCCTGTCATTTTTTCTTTTGTTAAACTAAAGATTTTTTTTTTTTAAATGTTTTTGAAAGAGAAAAATATAAACAAACAAACCATCATCAGTCAACTGAAAAAAAATTGTTTTCTCAATTTAATTTTTTAAAGTTTTTACACTGTTGTTTAAAGTTTGTATCTGTAAGACTTTGCAATGTTTCTGAAAGAAGTCTCTTCTGCTCACCACGGCTGCATTTATGTGATCAATACAGTAAAAATAATAAAAAATTATTAGTTTAAAACAGCACATGATCTTCAGAAATCATTCTAAAATGCTGATTTGCTGCTCAAGAAACATTCTGATTATTATCAATGTTGAAAACAGTTGTGCTGCACAATATTTTTGTGAAAACCATTTTATTTTACAGGATTCACAGATGAATACACTAAAAAATGCTGGGTTAAATATAACCCAGCGCTGGGTTAAAAAGGGACAAACCCAGCTATTGGGATGTTTTAACCCAACAGCTGGGTCAAAACAACCCAACAGCTGGGTCAAAACAACCCAACAGCTGGGTCAAAACAACCCAACAGCTGGGTCAAAACAACCCAACTGCTGGGTCAAAACAACCCAAATGCAAAAAAAACAGCACACGTTTAAAAAATAATTTATTGTTCTTTATGTACAGGAAAGATAGAAAACAGAGTAGACAAGTTATCGTCCAGGAAACTCTCTGTACACTGCATTGACAAGAAACTCTAAACTGTACAGAACTCGAGTACCGACTCAAACCAGATCAAACCCTCAGTCCGCGTGAAACCACATCATCAGTCCTGTGACGTCAGAGGGATTGTGGGTAATCCGTAGCATGAACGCGTCCATGAAGCTCTTTGGTTTGTGAACATGATAATCAGGAATACTGCGACAGGAGGAGAAACTACTGAAACCGGCCAGACATCACCAGACTGCCCTGTTTCACTGGTTTTACGGGGTTTTGGGCACTTGTCAGCTCGTTTGGGAGTCATTAAACCAGATTAAACTAGATCAGACCGGTCGAAGCTGCTCGTTTGAGCCGTTCGGGGGGAAATAAAACAATAAAATAAAGATGCATCTCATTAAAGCTGCTAAATACTCCAAGACGACTGCCAATAATGCATAAGAACTACAAGTATAATAATAATAATAATACAAAGGCATAGATGCGTGTAGATAGATGATTTGGTCCGTTGAGAAGGCAGCGCTAACGAGACGAACACTGAACACATTAATACTGACGATCCGTTCACGTCTCTTTGTCCTGCTGCTCAAATAAATACACAAACATGCAATAATGCAATTCAGAAACAAACAAACAAAAAATCATCGCAATAATGCAGTCAGCCGAGATCTAGTGATGGAGATTAATATCATGGCTGTAAGATAACATTGGGAAATAAATAAAGCACGTGTTTGTCTTGATGTTTGGTCAGTGAACGGTCATCAGCTTACGGTTCACAGAGAAGCACGGGACAGAAGCGACTCGCAGATTAAAAACCAATAAAACCTGTCAGTGTCAGAACAACAAACATGATCCGGATAAGATCTCTGCATCAATAAAACAGCGTCAGGCTGCTCGTTCATCATTCACATGCAAACCAATAAAACACGCTGATCAGTAATCACTGCTTCCCACAGAACTCAGTGTGAAGATGATGGTGATGAAGAGTGAACGACAGTGATGCCGGGCCACTGCAAAAACACACTTTCTTACTATTTGTCTTTTGTTTTTATTTTTTCCAGTCTTAAATCGAGATACATTTGCCTGAGAAACGAAATGACTTGATTTTGCTCAGATATTAATTCTTGTTTTCTGATAAAAATTAAGCAGGTTTAAGCTAAAAAAAAAAAAAAAAATGTTATTTTCACTTTAATTTATATAGAACATTTAGTGAAAAAAATAAAAGTAAAAAATAAAAAGAATAGATATAGTGATGAAAAACTGCATACTTTTGATGTATAATAATGTTGACAAAAAAAAAACCGGGCTTGAATACGGTCAACAGCCTGTTTTTATGCCTTGATTTAAGATACTGAGTCTTGATTTCTATCAATAAAATTATCAAAATGAAGTGAGTTCATGATAGGAAACGGGAAAATTATATATATATATATATATATATATATATATATA